CTAATTTGCTGAAAAATTAGAATTTTATGGGTGTAGGGTGTGGGTGAAGAGAAGACTAGAAGCCACACCTATATCCACACCCTAGTTCATTTTGTTGATGATTGACTTCAGTGACTTTGGGTCTAAAATAACTCATAACTATTTTAGTTGCAATGATAGAGTAGAAAATATCAAATGAAAATGGTTCACGATCACACTAGATTTTTTTCTATTGATCTATTTTTGCAATTCATTTGTTCATTCATCAAATATCTATACATATATCAAGTTGATCGTTTCCGTTTATGACCTCGTTTCATTCTGGATAACTCGCGTATATCTTCATCAAGCCGTATTTGAACACATTTATGGTTATTATGTACGGTGAAGCGCCATCGTTTTCTCACAAGCCATTCGATCATATCCGATAACAGAGCTGTTTCATGATTGCGTTGTTCAAATGTGATTGTAGAAATATCTCGAACATATTTCAAAGTTAATCTCATACAATCGACACTCGCCACGTGCAATTTGAGATGATCAATTCGACGTGATACTATTGGACCAATATTGGCTATTTTCGATTCGAAATCGTCGTTAAATGATAGACCGAGCATTCGAATATTCGATGCTTCTTGCAAAAGACGTTTGATTCTGTTAGGTTCCAATTTACCATTCAACTTTTCCAGCAGCCAAACTTCTTGAATTCGTGAAAGATCGATCAATGTCGATAGATGTTCGACTGCATTGATTGGCCATTCATTATAGACTTCGATCGCAAGACAAATCATATTACGGGACACACCATGATCAGGTAGTGCGACCTAGAACACAAAGAAAAATATTGTCAAATGTGAAATGCCAATCCTTGTATACGTGTTACACTCGGAACAAATCAAAGTATTTCGAACCTTTCCTCCTTCGTTGGAATAAAACTTACGAAGAACGATATATGACAAGTATCTTCAATCTAAAACTAATCTCTAATTAGTTGGGATATTAACTACAGCTAGTACAAAAAGTACGGAACAACATCTGAATGCGCCTGTTATAGTTTTCTTTATACATTCATACATACCTTACCCGTGTCAATTGCTTTCATCATCTGTGACAAATTGATCCGAGCACTCCACATATTGCTTCCATTCACTTGAGTCTTATAGTTGGCCGTTGTAATGGCATAAGACATCTTGCCAGAATTGAGATTATCAGGAAATGAAGTCTTCTGATATGTTGATGAGTAAAGAGCGAGAGTTTTGGTCCAAGAATGATCCGTACATTGACAAGTGACCAACCAGTGTTTTTCCTGTAGCCAGAAACTTGTACAAAATGGCGATAGAACCGATTCAATATTTGGATATTTCGAACTCCTAGTACAAATGTAAAAGTCGAATTTTTCTAAGAATGGTAGTGTTTGATGGATGAAATGCTCCCATTTAGAAAACCGTTGAAAAAATTCCCATGAACAAAGCGATTTTGTCTTCAATACAAGAGAAACGAGATGTGGTTGAAGCGAGAGAAAGAATTCTAGATCATCGATGGACATTTGAGTTTTTTCTAAAGTGAGTGAAGTCAATGATCGAAATGTCATCGGATGAAAAGTTGTATCCACATCTCGCATATTGGTTCTTTTTAAGACCAATTTTCGAAGATTTGGTGATCCATCGAGAATAGAACATAATTGTTGATAAGTACAATGTTGAAGTGTTAATTTTTGTAAAGCACATGAACTTGGCCACACTATTCTATTGATGATTTGATTGCAGATATCTAAAGTAAGATGACGAATATTCGGTAGAACAATTATCTGTTCGAGAAGACCTACCAGATCATCATGCCATACATTGAGTTTTGTCATCCGTACTGTTACAGATGTGAGAGTAGAGATCATCAGCAGAGGTGTAATGAGTGTTTGAAAATTGTATTCATCAATATCACAAAGTATCAATGAGCGAAGTCGTTTGAGTTGATGAAGATAAATAGACGAAATAAAACACTCGGCAGTATGAGAATTGAAATAAGAATTTTGTAGAGTCAATTCAATGATATTTTCTGGTTGAACTATGCGACATAACCGTCGAATATTTGCCTTTGATGTTCGATAAGTGAACTCGATCTTTAATCGATCATAATTATTTGCAATTGAATAAAATCGTTTACAGACAGGCCGAAACGAAAAATGAATATCTTCAGTATTTAGTAGATCAAAAATTCGATGAAGAAGTTCAGCAGGCAAAGTTTGCATCGACATGTCTCAATATGTAATGTTGAAATCAGCGTCGAGTTTAAGTAAAAAAAAAAAGAAATGCTAACGACAAGTTTTTTTTCCTATTTCTTCTCTATTCTTTCATCAGTACGTCTTGCATGCCGACGAGCTTTTAAAAAAAGACACGAGTTATTGTTTGCTTCTCAAAACAAAAGTATTGCCATGGATTGTGCAATAAATGATAAGATAATACAGAATCGAATATTAAAGACTGTTCTATATCTGACCATGTGCAAGGTTGTCACGAAGCTAATACGATTAGAGCAGGTATGAAGATGATAAATTCTTCCAGTACTAGACGCTATTGATGCAGGTGTAGGTATCCATCGTAATAGTCATCGTTTTCTTTTTCGCGTTCTCTTTTCATACGTCACTATGACTCATTCGATCTTACATTTCTTATTCAAGACGGTGAACGACATTTTTTCTCAAAATGAAAGATTCTTGCATCAATAACATAACTATGTTTTTTAACGATAATATTTCGATAGTATAGTCGAGCGATTTATGGCGGCAGTTTCAAGCACTGTTTTCTCTTAGGTTCGTCAACTATTTTAGATTTACGTACCCTACTTTTTACTGAATTACAAGTAATGTCGTACTGAGGATCATATAAAATTTTACTTGGTCAATGAATTCTACTACTGTTATTCTCACTTTTTTTGTTTCTCATCAGATTTTTCCAGTTGAACTTCTCTTGTTTTTCTGAGACAGTCATGCTGACTCTAAAATTACTATGAAGAAACGAGCATGTGGGTGTAAATATAATCTATGATTCCTCTATTCAACCACATCTACATACCTTCAAGCTTCCATCTTTTTTTTTGTCTAATCATGATGTGTTGATCGAATTTATTTATATATTTTTCTTTCAGACAACCAAATGAGACACAAGAAAAATCAGAATAGAATTTTCATTCATATATCATAGATTTGAACTGACATTTTGTGTTTTTTTTTGTTTAGACTTCTAGTTTTTCTATTGTGAATCAGATAAAACCACCGGAATCTCATTTATATCAGTTGCTTTTGGTCGAATTTCGTTTTTCGTTGCCTTCATTTTTCTCACGCAGTTTATGCTCATACCGAATCAATTGTAAGAAAAAAGCATGATTAGGGGCAGCAAAACGACGTCGTTCAACCAAATAATCATATGCTTCAGCCAACGAATTATGATGATATCTAGGTGGAAAGAATGAGAACAATTTTTAATAAAGAAGAATATTACCTCAATAGATACGCGAGAACAATCGAAGATGAACGAGAAATACCCATCTGACAATGGACCAGTACTTTATCGCCATTTACTTTGCAAGAGTTCAAGAATTCATTTGTTTTTTCAAAATATTGAGAAATATCAACATTGAAATCATCGTCCAAATTGATCCACATTACATTGAAATGATTAAGAATATCTTGTTCCAACGGACAATCACTGACATTGATTATATGTCGAATGTTGAGATCAGTCAGTAATTTTTTATTCTGTGCATGTTCGAGCTGGCCTTGATAAAGGAAATTGTCGATCACCGGTGAAGGGCTAACATAACCTGCGCTTTTTGGTGGTTTTACTTCTCGTTTCTTCAATCGGAGATTGATTAACTCTTGTAGATAGGCCAATTCATCATCGTTAGCTTGCATATCATGCTGTAACTTGTCTAATACGAGTCCTCCTATCAATACATATGTGGGAGTCGATTTAATAGCCATATATTTCCTATTGTCAATTAGTTTATTTTAATTCTCAATCTAGAATAGAATTTAATCATATACGGTATTTATTCTTTCATTCATGTCTCTTTTCTTTGCGTGCAGATGACCGTTATTATATTCTTGGTGGATTCCTTATGTTTGTAAAAGAGATCATGTAAAATTATGATGGCTAAGTTTTGAATGCTGAAACCATATGAAAAGAAAGACTAATAACTATTCTATTAATTTCATCTTCAATTTGAGGAAAAAAACATATATGAAATTCCTGCTTACCTTCGACTATTGCTTGTTGTGTTAGTTATATATGTGATGATGAGTCAAGATATTTTATCTTATTATTTTTTTCTCGCTTTTATATGACTCTCACGTATTGCACAACTGGATAGAAATGTTAACATGACATATGATGAAGAACATCTATAGAGAGTTTATGGTATTATTCACCTACATCATTGACTACACTGTATATCATAGCTTTGTAAGAAATAAATTTTGAATCAGCTCCGAGTAATCCAGATGAGATCGAGCGGTAGACTAGTCAAATAATACAAATATTGGAACATCCATAAATATCAATAGGGATGATAAGTTAAATTATATGTTTTTTCAATCTTGTTGTAACTTGAAAATAGTTATATTAAATTAGATTGATGATTAGTTTATGTGTTTACTTGTTATTAAGTCATACGGAATCTATTTTCAATAAGACCTCAGCAATGTCAGATTTTTTTTTCTTTTATGAATTAAAAGCAAAACTACTATTAAATATCTTCGTTAAAATCTATATAAAAAGGTTTAAAAGTGTGTATATGATCAAAAATTATTAATAAAAAACAATTACAATGTATTTTAACTTGAATTCGTTTTCAATCAATAGTAACAAAATGAAATTTATTCAAAATGTACGAGAAGAATAGGTTAATACTCGATATTTATCATTTATTTTCATTTCTAGGAATTGAATTTTAGAATGTTGAATAAATTAGAGTGTGGGGTGTTACTTTTCTTTTCAAACATATATCCACATCCTTACTGAAGAAACAAGGATTTTAGATATTTCTCAAGACTCTTCACCGAATATATATTGATGTCTAAAAACTTGTAAACGATTATGCAATATAATAAATGCTTTGATACATGGATGAAACGTTACGACAAAAAAAAAACGAAGTGATCATCACTCTTTTTCTCGTTTAGTAGCGTTTTATAGTGAAAATGTCAATATCACCGTTTAAATGACATATGAGGCATTTCGCTTCAGTCTACGTAGTTATTAAAGATCAAAACATGTTTATACAAATACACATTCTCAAATTAGAAGCTTATGCTGAATTGATAAATAAAAAAAAAAGTTGAATTGATATTAGAATAAAATGAAGTAGACAGGCTTCGATTAGATCAATGACAAGGTTGTAGACATATCTAAAATATCAGTCGATAAGTAGACATCAAGGACAATGTTCTTATATGTATGCTTAGTAACCTACGAACATTTGATGGCAGATTACATATGTATATAAGAGCACGAAAAAAAAGTAACAACGATTGCAGTTTTAAATAACTAAGTATCATCATTATTTCAAAATCGATATACATTCATACAAATATAACAATGTTAGCGGTTGGTTATGTGAGTCTTTTAGTAGTTTCACTTGTAAACAGTGTTGGTAAGTTCAAAAGATCGAAACAAAAAGATTCATACTGATAAATAATTATACGATGTGTTTTAGCTGGCAACTGTTTGGTTAGTGGATATTGTGGTGTTGGTCAATGTTGTTCAGCATTTGGTGTTTGTGGTACAGGAGCTCAATATTGTGGTGGAGGTGGTGCTTTACACGGTGCTGGTGCTTTCCACGGTGCTGGTGCTTTCCACGGTGCTGGTGATTGTCGTGTTGTAGGCTGTCAAGCTGGTTTGTGCTGTTCACCTTATGGACAGTATGTATATTAGATTTTCGAATATAGTATATACTACAAATGAATTAGGTGCGGACAGTCAAGTGAATATTGTGGTGGTGGTGCTCCTCCTCCTACTGTTGTTGTTATTGCACCTGCTCCGCCGGTTCAAACTCAATGTTACACGACTGGTTGTCCGGTTGGCTCATGCTGTACACAACAAGGATAGTAAGTTACTCGATTTCTGTTTTGTGTTATGGAAAATATAAAATATTCATTTAAAATTTGATTATATTTATCTATATAGTTGTGGAAGTGGTGCCACTCATTGTGCTACTGTTTCGTATAACAATTGTGGTACTACGTCATGTGGTACTGGTCTTTGTTGCACACGATATGGATAGTATGTTGATTTATTCATATTTTATATTTGATAAAAGATGTTATTTTAATAATTCTAGTTGTGATAGAATTAGTATTCATTGTGCATATAAAAAATCAAGCAGTCAAAGTCAACCAGTATCACTTGAAGGTGAATTTAAAGGACAAGCAACATATTACAATGCAACCAAAGTCGGTATACAATATTCAACATGTGGTATTGAACGAGAAGTATCATTGGATGAAAATAATCAAAAGATTTATAGTGCTGCACTTAATCAAGCACAATTTGATCCATACACTGTCCGTGGTATTCCAAGTTCTAATCCAATCTGCCAAAAGAAAGCTTTAGTCAAAGGTCCAAAAGGTGAAATTATTGTTCGATTTATTGATCGATGCCCTGATTGTAAACCAAGTATGTATTTTTGTTTTTGTTGTATAAAGTTGCCATATTTCTTTTTTATCATAAATATTTATTCATCTTTCTGTCTCTTAGATGATATTGCCTTAACTCAAGAAGCTTTTATTGCAGTTGCCGGAGAACTTGGAAGTGGTCAAGTATCTGTCGAATGGTATTTTATCTAAAATGAAACCAAAAATATAATTATCAGACAAAAATCTTAATATTAGAGTTCTTCTTTTTTTCTTGTTTTCTTTTTAAATTACTTGTATTGATATTCTTTTTTTTGTCCTATTATATCTCCTACATAAATAAAAAGTTCTTATTATCATTTACACATATACATCATGTCTTTTTACACGGTAGAACAATGAAGATGACACATGAAGTGACATGTCTAAGCAATAAACTGGTTTATAATAAACATACAAGAGATTTTAAAATTCAACAAGTCAACATGAAATTCTAATTTGAGAATAACTATTTGAATCAGAGCATATCCTTCCGAAATATACCATGTTTATGTCGAAGTTCGATGCCAGCGATGGGAGCTTGTGTATCTTGTAGGAAATTAGGGTGTGGCTGTGGATGTAGGCGTTGATATTCACTTCGCTCACGCCCGCATCCAACCTATTTCATACATAATTGATTGTGTTTAATATAATTTTTGGAAATTTAAAACAAATTAAAGCTAAGATATTATACTATTCTATTTTATTTCACAAGGACGATACCTTAATTTTGTCTCTAAGAATTGACCGATACATATCTAGCAAATACAAATAGTTGATCAATAGAATGAAGCTATTCTGTTTTCTTTATCATCTGAAGGTTGAAGATCATCCATGAACGGATATGCATCTATAGAGAAAGAAGTGAAATTGTTAAGAAGTGAACTTCAGACAAAAGCGAATTGGAGGCAGTCCACAATGACCAACAATACAAAAACAACTATCCTTTATAAATCATACATTACTAGAAGTATGAAGTGAATTTTTTTCTTTTTCTTACATCATACATCTGATGATTTCTTTCCTTCATTTGGTTGGATGTGGGTGATGAAGAATAGGAGATCCATATCCACACTCATACCTACACCCGCACCCTTCATGAAATGTCTTATACACTCTTGATAATCTATTCAAAATAATGAGTTTCTATGATTTTAACTATAATTATTTTTCTAAACATTTTATTGTGGTAGCGCGTGAAGTATCAGCGACATCAACATCAATGATAACGGTCGATTTTATAAAAAAAAAAGAAAAGAAAAAGAAAAGAGGAGAACAGAAGAAATGCATCACGATAATGGCGATGCTTTTTTTCATTACTAATCGTCTATTTCGAGTATAAAAAGTAACGTCGACGCACCTGTTTTCAACATTACAATATCTATTTGCATCTATTATAAAACAACATACTTCGTCATTTTTTTTTCAAACAGCTGTAACTAGCTTATACGAGATAAATATGGTTAAAGTACACGTTGTTTATTGTGGTGGATGAGATTATGGGGGCGAGTTTCGGAAGTTCAGTAGTGAACTGAAGAAATCTTGCTCCAATATAAAACTCGATATTGTAAGTTATGATTTGTTTATTTATTTATTTTAAATTAAATTTGATTGAAAAATAAATAAATTTTAGTCCAGTGAAGCAACACCTGAAACCACTGGATTTTTCGAGGTTACCGTTGATGGAAAATTAGTTCATTCAAAAAAAGTAATTATACATTTTCGAAGGAAAATTTTATTAATTGATCAATTTTGTAGGATGGTGAGGGTTTTCCGAACACGAAAGATAAGATGGATAAGATCGTGAAAGCAATTGAAGCAGCCAAATAATCGAAAGAATCTAATATATTAGATAAATATAAAATGAGCGATGTTGGTAAGTCAAATCTTAAAAAGAGAAAGATCACATATTATTATTGGTTTTTTTACCTTTAGAATGTCATCTTGAAATGATTGATTTGAACTATCAACTACCAGAAATGATGTGTTGTGTGATCAAATTTACAAAGTCCTCAATACTGATTCAATCAATAATTATGATAGTTATATTTCAATCATTTATGCAATTTAACATTCACATTTGGGACTCTATTTTTATTTTCTTGTTTCAATTTTTTCATACGTTTCGTATAGGCAAAAGTAAATAAAAAATGATTACGATAAGATAATCAACCATCATAAATTTATCAAAATTTTGCTTTAAGGATTCTCCTCTCATAGAACTTGATTTTCATCAAAAATAACAATTTTTGAAATAAACATGCCTATTTTATCTGAGTTATTTTTGAAACTATTTAAACAAATGGTGATGTCTAAAGCAATCAGTATAATTATTTTTTTGTCAATCTTGGGTGTGGGTGAGGATATGGTGTTCTTATTATCCACACCTACACCCACTCATCCCCACGCTATATTTCGAAATGAATAGTAGTTAGTATAATCATAATGAAACTTTGCAAAGAAAAATTTATCAAATGATGAATTATCATATGGGAAATATATTAATTCATTTAATAAATTAATAGTCAAGATATGTTATTCCCTAAAAAAAAAAAAATTTAAACAAAAATTTTTTTGTGGAAATAACGATGAAGTTCTTTAAGTAATGTAGCTGGACAAGGTTCATCAAACGGTATATTAATACACACACTTTCAAACCATTGAAAACCTTGTTCTACCAATTCTTGTCCTTCATTCCTTGTTTTTGTATGTGCTATAAAACGACAGGCAACATTCATACCATTAACATCGAATTTTTCATAAGTTGTTGGTTTTTCAACATCAGCTATTGGAATATATGTTAAATTATGTATTGGACATTCACGTGGTATATACATAAGTTTACCCGGTTGACGTGGAATAACAAGTTCAGTAATAACTTTTTCTTCATTGTCTTCGATTAATTTTGATATTGGTAATGAAACACTTGCACGAAAATCTAATCGAGCAAATGATTGATTTTTATCATTTTGAAAAGATAATAGATCTATAAGATTTGTTATTGAACCACCAGGTGCACGTGCTGCTATTTCACAAAGAACAAAATCATCATCAGGTAAACGATTTTCATCAAGATTTTCATATAATTCTAAATGAAATACTAAACCATCGGATGGTTTTGGTAAAATATTTAGAAGACGTTGTGCAGTTTTACATAAACGATCATGAAGTGGATCTGATCGAGGAATAGATGAATTTCCGTAAGCTTTTCCTTGTTGTGCAAAATCTAAACATGTATGAAGATAAGCAAATGGCCATGCATAAATAATTTGACCATTTTTAGCAATACCATTAACATGAAACATACGTCCATTCATATATCCTTCAACCATAAATTCACCCACTAAATCCATTCGTTGTTCAATATCAATACATGCAAAAAGTTTTGATGAAAGAAATGTTTCTAATTCATCTTTAGTTTTTATTAAATGAAGACCAGATGTAGCACAACCAAGAGTTGGTTTAACTACAACTGGATATCCATATTTTTCAATGAAACCAATCAAATCAGCTGGTGCATATAAACGAGTAAATGGTGGCACGGGAAAACCACTTTGAGCAGCAATTTCTTTCATACGAACTTTTTCACGATAAGCAGGAACTAATTCAGCTGTTAAACCAGTATTTATATTAAGCAAAGAACGTACATGAGCTGTTCTCATAATTAAATCTTCATTGTTTGTATAGACATGTGTAAATGAATATTTTTTATGCATTTCAAATGCCCATAATTCAAGTGTACCATCTGTTGTTGGATGAGCTATTTCCTTATAGGCTCGAATATATGGAGAAGATTTATCTTTTTCAGATAATGCACCATTACTAGTACAAATATATAATTCTATATTGTCATCATCATTAATAAAATCCGACCATGAATGTGCAGCTATCGTGGATGGAATTTGACAATCGTCTATGATTAAAACACGTTTTTCAGCCATATATAATATATAAAGAACAATCGATTTAAACTTTACACTTCAAAAGACTTTTTGTATAATATTCTAAAATGAAGACAAATCATATAATTAATACGAACATAATTCCAATAAAATTTATGTAGCAGAAGCAAAAATCTTTATATTGATTATAAGAAACATCAACAAACTTTTTGTTGGATACCCAAACACTGACATTTATGATTATCTTGATTTTAATTGTAAAACATCTTGTATAAGTAACAATCAAAATAATCATGAGTGTTGGTGTCCGCAAAAAAAAGGCGATATTTCAAATAAAAACAAAAGCGCAGCCTATAGTGAATATCTGTAGGTATCCACAGCTTGTATAGGTATTGTTTGTTATTTTAAATGCTGTAAAGTCATTCAAAATAATATATTGATCTTTTATTCAGATTAAACACTTTTGTCTATTATGCATATCGCTCTTCAATTTAAATACTCAACGGAACATCAATATTCGATATGAATACTGTAATATGTTTTATAAATCCATCTTCGTCTGTCTGAATATCTAACACAAATGAGAATTATATAAAGGATTGTGATAGAATTGGAGATAAGGTTATCCATTAAATGAATCAAAAAGTTCAGTGCGAAACATGTCGAATATTTCTATCTAACAATAGGTCTCGCTCAAATCTGTTTGATATTACACATAGAAGAACATATCGTAATAAAAAGTCAAGGATATTTTTTGTCTATTCTATTGGATCTTTAAATATCTAAGAAAACATGATTAATATCTCAACAAATTAATAGTCTATAACTTATCAATCATGCTATATCTCTGATTATCGCATAGGACTTTCAGATCTGTCATCATCTCTTCATATTATAATCTATTCTAACACTATTGAAAATCGTCTTATAATTTTTTCAATCAAAAATCACCATCTAATGTCATTTTGACTAGTGATATAACCAGGATTTTGTCGATGAGAGACTCAGCTAAATGAAGAAATCTGTAGCAGAGCAAATTCGATCGATGTGAAACTTAGCCACTCATTGATGACGTCACTAATCCTGATATGATAAAAATAAAAATTCAAATATCAAGAAAATGGATTTTTGAATAGTTAAAATTTGTAAAAGATTTTATGTAGTGCTTAAAAATTGAATTAAAATTTCATTGATAAAACCTATTCAAACTCTATAAATATACTTTTTACCCTGTATAACAATTGTTGAGTCGAACAACGTGCATGAGTACGATAAAAGTGCGACAAAAGAAAAGGAAGAGAAAATAGTGTGCGTATGTATTTCTTTTTCTCTGCCACTTAGCAAATAAAAGATCCAATACAACAATAAAAAAAAAAAGAAAAGTCACGTGCTGTTGTCATGTGCCGTCGTCACGTACATGTACTCCATATTGATGCATTTTATGAAAATGATGATGATGATGATAAATGTCAAAACTAAGACAAGCAAAAGTTCGTCGTTTCATAGCAAATAAATCATCTTATACTAATTTGAAACACATAGTTATTAAAACTAGTCCATATAGAAGATAGAGTGCACATAAAATTGATTTACTATTTTTATTATCTTTTAATGTTCCTCTACCAGGTTCTAAATCACCAAGACCTATTTTAGTAAATGTAATAAATGAAAAATAAATAGTATCAATATAAGATCATCCTTCTCAATGAGAAAATAGAACAGCACCAGTTACAATATATAATGCAAGTACATCTATTGTAGTTGTAATTGATACATGATGTTACATGGTTCTATTTTGGGTGTGGGTGTAGCTCTTCTCTTTCTCCACACCAGAACTCACACCCACAACCACATGTCATGTGTGACAATTGATAGATTGACACGAATCGTTTCTTTTGAAGTGGTTGTCTTTTATTGATGGGAATTGATATCACAAAGATAAGCAAAAATGTAATGCTTTATTCAATTTTCCTTTGTTTTACGTCTTTCTCTTTCGTTCTTTTTCTTGTCTCTCTTTCTTCCTTCTAATTGCTAGCTCGATTCCTCTCTTTTTTACTCAGTACATTATATTGATGGCATACAGTATAACGCTTTGTTTTAATGATGCAGCTTCTCGATTAAACATCTCTATTTCTTTCTTTTATCATGTAAGCACTTCCGAGTGTTACATCCACGAGCATAATAAAAAAAATATAATATCAAGCTATGCTATCAAAAAAGATTGAATAATCATTTATCATTGCAATAATCGTAAGTAGCGTTCATCCGATGGATTCGCTAGCGTTTTCTGAAAGATAACACTGTGCTTTGACAACTAAGTTTTATTTTAATCTTGCAACGCTTTTTCAATCATCGATATGACTGGACATTCAAAACGTCTTTTACTTTTCCCAAAAGTTCCCGTGAATGTAGGTGTGGGTGCGTGCGGGTGAGTCAGACCAAAAACCAGACCAACAACTATACCGAAAACCACACTCCACATAACTTGTAAGTGTATTTATAAAATCAATTTCCTTAATAAATTTCGTAATAGTCGTTCATAATAAGGATAAAATAAACGACTAAGGAAACTAGGTATTCATATATGCTATGTTGCTTCTTTTATATAATATGTTCAACACTTTATCAGAAAATCTTTAGAAACAATCTTATTGATCGATTTCGAAAAATTTGTCATTATATTCTTATGTTGATATTTTCATTAATACAAGAGAAGATGTCATCCAATAATATATTATTTGATAGATTGTTAACACTTTCGAGGCGATGTGGCTCATCGGTAGGCCACGCTATATTTCAAGATAAAACTGAATAGAAAAACACTCTCTTTTGCTTTTTTCCTAGGCAGGAAATTAAATCTCATATGTTATTGGTACTGTCTTCGGTATTTTTCTTCAATCCTTAATTCCATACCACATTGTTTTTTGTTAAATTATTCAAATCAAGAAATTTATTACAGTTAGAACAGAGAGTTATTACTTTCTTTACTCTAGTAAAGATAACTTGTCTTCATTTTTGTTTTCTTTCTTTTTTTGATAGCAGCCAGTACAGCGTCTGCGGACATCATATGCAGATGGTTCTATGTTTTGCGATAGCTGGTGTACAATCTTTTCATCGTAACTACATATTTTCTGTAGCAATGAAATACAGAAAAAAAGGATAAGTCGCTATCATTTGCTTTCCAAATCGTTCACTATATGATTTATTATGAAACTGATTGAAAATTTACTTTTTATTGAAAAAAAAAAAAGTATTTTATATGTGCTATGCTAGACAAATTTCACTTAAATCCATGTTATAAGAACATTGTTTCGAAAGAATGAAAAGTGACAAATCGATTTCGAATTAAGTTTAATTGTTATTTTCATCGTCTACAACTATTTTCAATCATTATTTATTTGTAAAAAAAAAAGAACATTATCTAATTCTTTTTTTGTTCACTCACTGTGACGATCTATAATGACACATTATTATCAAAATTTCTTTTGTAAGATGAAAAATATTTCAATGATAGTGAATTTGAAGAGAAAAACAATCGATTGTAAATGCGAAGATTCAAATATCAATTATCATTTCATAGAAAAATTTAGATTTCTCTTCATTCAAAACATAAAAAACTACGAAATTTATCCTTGTAACATTGTTTAATATGACAACTGTGTGTAGAACTTTTCCTTCTTTTTCTGTCTCTCTCTTAATTAAATTTCTTTTCTTCGATATAAATGAATTCAATATCAATGAACAATATTGTATTTTATCTTAGCTTCATTTCTACACAATCTAACTCTGCATGCAAATACAAAATGGATTTAGGGTGTGAGATGTGGGTGTGGATGAGAAGATCGACATCTACACCCACACCCATACCCGCTTCATGCCTAAATCTTACATAAACTGTTATAAGGCTAGAATTAAATGTCTTACCAAATGCTTACTTACTTTATTCGAAAAGAATGCGTCCGTATGTCACAAATGCTATCAATTTATCAGATAAATGTGTTCTTAGATAGGGTATGTATTTTTCAGGATTTTGTCATATTCATGACGGTGTGAGTGTGAGTGTGGTTCTCGTTTCAGACACTTCCACATCCACATCCACACTTCTTTTTGTAAAGTGAATTACTTTATTGATTAATTTTTTCTGCTTCTGCTTAATATAAATCGAAATCAATATAAATAAAGAATGCTAGCTATTGTTCTCTTTACAATGCAAGAAAGAAATGTTGTTCATAGCAATATTTCGATTCCGTTGGTGGTAATTTCATGCGTTGTTGATCTTCTTCAGGTATTATATCTTGAGGTTTGAAAATAAACGGTTTTGGAAGAATTTCCCAGAAATGTTCTTTGTGTTGTATAGGTTTTTCAACATTTAATCCATTGAGTGAAAAACGATGAATTTCACCTTTTACAAAACCATGTTTTTGATAGAATGTACAGGCTTTGATCATGTTGGTTGATGTAGTCAAATGTACTTTTCGATAATCATGCTGTCGAGCAAAGTTCAATAATGTTGCTAATAGACGAGAACCAATATCGCGTCTTTGAGCATCGGGAACCACAGTCATTCGTCGCAATTCACAAATTTGATCTCTTTCTTCCAACGGCAAAGTCTGATAGTAAATCGGATCGCCAAGACATAGAGGCTGGACTGCTACTTGACCTACGATACGATTATCATCCGTTGACACAGCAACCCACCAGTGGGCATTCGGAATTTGAAGATAATTCTTCTCAATATCTGCCATATCCGTTTGAAGGGCATGAATATAGTATGCTATGTCATTATCATACTCCTTATTACTATCTAATATCATAGCTTGGCATGCAGATAAATCCGATGACTGATAGCTACGAATAATAATTGATGGAGTAACAGATGTATTCATCTAAAACAAAACTATGTTATCATTAAAGTCGACATTTAGTTAGAAGATGTTCTCTTTCATTCTCAACATCTATTCGTGTCCCTTGATTCTAAAAGAAAATTTTCTGTCAAAATGGTTGATAGAGTCAGAATATGGATATTATTCTTCTCGTCACTCACATTCATACTAGCTCTGATTGTATATGAATTTTAAAAAAGAAGCATAATTGATGAAAATTCAATGTTCGATGGTAAGAAAAAGCAATATTGTCCATAAATTTTTCATAAAGAAGAAAAAACAAGAAGAAGTTGTGAAAAATTTTACAGAATGAGGTCGAAGGTTTCTAACAGATTATCTCAATTCAGAAGAGTTGAATAAAAACAATCGAAGTCAGACTGAGAAAATCAACATAGTTCAACGCCCGAAACGATGTGAACAAGATCGAACGTTGCACTGAATAATATTGTAATAGATCAAGAGTATATGATAAAACGTATGAAATCATTCTCACAAATATGCTCAATATTTTATAAAACCCAAATCATTCAATTGGTCTTTGGAAACGAATTATCGTTCACCTGTGTTAATCAATTGATTGGGATCATGAAAAAAGATAAATACCTACTCTTAATGCATAGTCGTATAGGGATTTGTGTTGTTATTGATACATTCAACGATTGAACCTATTCGATTAGATGAAATGGTCGCAACTATTAGAAACAATCATACTGTTTCATCAGTACCTGCTTTTTTTTCTGTTATATCGACCGAACAGAAAACAAAGACGTAGGAGCATTAAATGATAAGGGGAATTGAAGCTTTTTTTTTTTATCGCTGCTGGCTATAGTTTTTCGTGCGTTAGACATGTCATACAAATATGAATGAATAGAACGAAAACATGAAAGAAATCAGATAATGGAATTATTTGGGATCTGCTACTAATTGTCCAGTTTATACTACAGTTACTTGAGCTTTTTTTCCCTTGACACAAAATACTACACATGGCAGAACTGTTTAGTTAATGAAATATATATCTTAAGACAAATAATCAAATTATTAATTAACAAGAAAATATGCAGTATAAATAACATTGGCTTTTTTGTTTTCATTTTGTATTTATTTTGATATAACTTATCAATGCATGATCATGTTTCAATTTATATTGTATGCCCATGTATTTGATTACGACGTAACTACATTGCAGTTGATAAAAAAGAGACGATTTCAAAATCATATTTTTGATTGATAGGTGTATTCGTTATGTCTTTTTAAATTCTATCTAATAATTTATCCAGTTTCGATGATTGATAGAGAGAAAATATCGTTCTTAAAATACAAACATAATAAGTGATACAAAAGTCTTTGGAAAAATGTGCAACTATATTGCTGATTTCTGAATTAATCAAATTTGTTTTGGTTAGAAAGAGCAATGTTTGAACTATAAATTTTGTACCAGACATATTTTTCCAGAATGAATCTGAGAAAGATGCAACGTCAAAAACTGAACACCTCAAAAAAAGTTCTTAAAACGCTTTTGCAACTTGAAAAGTCTGTATTTCCCAATTATTTTGAGCTATAGGGGTTAAATCTGAACAAAAAATACATTAAAATGTAGCGCATGAGAAATTCTGTCGATATTAGCTTTGAGAGTTTTTTCAATCCATTCTTGACTCTTTAATCAAAAAAGTTTGAAATACGAAACTTTTGCAAAATTTTAGTAGAAAAAAAAAACAATTCAAAAACGATTTTGTATCGTTGTAAAACGTTCAAGTACTAAGAACGACCAAATTAATTAGTCTCTTCCATAAAAAGCTATTTATTGACATAAAAATCAAGAATAAATTTAACTTTCAATACACCATTAGAAAGAGCGCTCTCTGTGCTACAAAAATCTTCATTGAACGTGGGTGTGAATGTCGGTGTGGGGTGTAAAAAAAGAGAACAACTACACCCACACTCTCTTGATAAGCCTTCTCTTTTGTCGTGTTTTTTTAAAGTAGTCATACATTCTAATGATTTTTTACATTTTCTTTTGTTGAATACTCAAATGCGTTGCTTTAATGATTGTAAACAGCCGTAAAGCGTTGCATTTTGATAAATATGGTTAATGATATTTGACCATATTTATGGTTTAAAGTAACTGTATGTACCCCGTATTTTTACTATGAATAAATCGTCATTTCGACATCAATGATTGTATTTGTGTTTCGAACTGATTTATATTCAACAATGGAATTCTTTTTTTTATACAGATCAATTAGCTTTTGCTCATATTTTATTTAAATAACAATTGATTATAATGAACATATTTTTGCATGAGGAAAATAGTCTTTTAAATGTTCAGGAAATCCTAATGTATTATAAAGAAATATCACCCTAATTTTTACACAATTGTTTCGAGTTGAATTTCTTGTAAAATTGTGTGTTACTTCTTTCAATAATCGATAATTTATATGAAGAAAAATACTATTTGGTAAACACATTTTAGTATCAAGTAAAAATTGTTCAAGATAATCTTCGTGAGTTTTTATAAGATTAAGTTCAAAAAGATGAGGATATTGAATCACTATCGACAAAGGTCGATTGTCATCTTTTGATTGTTCATTAAATTTGTTAATTTGTGGCTTCTTATTAATTAAAGTTAATTTTTCCATCAATGGGAATGATTTTTGAATTTGAAGAAAAAATTCATGTTCAAAAGGACGTTCATCAAATAATGATATTTCACGAACACATTTAAATATTCCACCTGGAAAATTATTTGTTATATTATCATAATATTTCAATTTATATGGATATGAATAAATATGACATTGACCATAATTTCTTTTTTGAAAATAATCAATACAAGAAATAATTTGATTATAAAAATGACTTAATGAACAAATATTAAATGTAAATTTATTTAATAGTGTCATATTATTAATAATATTTGTTTTCAAATCATAACCATCAATAAATATTTTTTTTCTTGAAACTATAAGAGACAAATCAAGTTCTTCTAAATCGTATAAAAATCAAGATTATACAAAGGCGGGGAAACCGCGAAATTTCATCATGCACCGTCACTGCGGCTCGTCCATCTCTGATGGAAACCTTTTTATTTTAATATTTTTTTGTATAGAAACATACATGTTCTCTTTGATGAGAGTTTTCTTCTCATTCATATTAATAAATAAATATGAAATTGATTCAAATGAATTCATCTGATATATAGTTTCAATGTTTTTATCATTGGAAGAATTGAAATCAAATATCTTACCATTAAAAAGATGCATAGCTATTTCTTGTCGAATGTTATATAAACCAAATCCATATAAATTAGGAAAATTTGTAGCACGAAGAATACGTTCCATTGAAAATGCTTCGAGATCAAGCCATTCGATTTTATCATGAATTTTAGGTAAGATTTGTAAACAAAATCGATCAAGTATTGATTCTGATAATGGAAAAATACAATGATTCAAGAAAGATACCATTAAAGTCAAACGATTCGTAAAAATAGAATCATGTACTGTTTTATTTAATCGTTTATTAACACCTATTAAAGAACAAAGCACCTGGACATGAGACAATTTTTTCAAAATAATCATAAGAATTTCGTCGAGTAAATCATTCAATTGAACACGTGGATATTCCATGTTTATCTATACCTAAGCCTATATTGCTTAGCTTATAAATGCCAATATACGCACGTTCATGTATTCTATTTGACCAATCTCGTCAATGAAAACAATGATACATTGTTTCATAATCTGAACTAACGATGAACGAATGTATAGCTGGCAGAACGATTTTTCCCTCTTTCGTTTAACATATCATTTAATATGTCGATTAAAGATGTGCACTACACGCGTCGGCGGTCCGTGCTACCAAAGAAATTTTAGAGGGCAGTGATCGGATGGTCACGCTTCAATCATACCACCTGTTAAACTCTATTGCTAGGATTTAAAAAAAAAAAGGATGTATATCAAACACTGAAAAGTCAAGAGAAGATATTTAATCGTTGGCACACTCATACTTTATGAAATGCCGTTAGTTTTATTACCTTATTTTGATACTTATCTTTTAAATCTATAAATTAAATCTAGATCAATATTGATTGAAAATTATTTCGATAACCAAACGAGCTAACTCGAAACTTAGTGAATTTCATTGTGACGAGCATAATCTTTAAATTCGGGTTAAGCTAGGGTGTGGGGTATGGCTGTGAGCATATAAGTTTTTGTAACCCACTCCCTACACCCTATTCAAGTAAATACTTTATCCACAAATGAAAGAGGATGATAATAAAAAATTATTATAAGACTACTATTCAAAAAAAAAAGGAATCGTATTCATAAAATATGAGTATCAAACGAAGAGCATATTAACATTCGTAAATTAATTTTGATGTCTAGATTCATTCAGATAATGAGAAGTACTGCTAATTTGAGCAGGGATGTTGGCTTTGTATTAGACTAATACTTTTTTAATACTAATGCTCAGCCAACACCTCTCATTGTGAAAAATGCATGACAGCGAGAAAAGAATGTTTTAATTCAACATATAAGCACTGAGCTTTTTATTTTTAATCCTAACTTGAAGATTATTTTTCCTCGAGTAACAGCATCATTGAAAGAGTAAGAAAAGAAAACAATTTGTATATGTGATTATTCACACAAAAGTAATTGACAGAAGTCACAGATAAAAGTTGAATCCATTCACCTTTGGAGAACGTCGTTTGTACTCAAGATAATACAATCTTTCGCAGCTAGGATGAACAAAAAGCAAAAAATGAACAAATGAGACATCAAAACGAAATCAAGATGTATTAGCTAGTCAATTATACTCCTATTTTCTAGTGTACGACGAATCTCGGGTTTCGTCTCTAAATCTGGTGATCCAAATTTCAGGTTGCTGTCACAATATAATCAACATTTATTGTTATAATGTAGCAGAGTCTTCCTTTCGTACTTCTTCGATCAATGAATGATATCGAAAGCTATAATCGATAATCGAATCTAGACCTATCACTATGTTTCGATTATATTTTTTCCTCTGATATTTTTCGTTCAAGACACACATGACTTTTATAATAACAAATAGAGTCTATAGAAGTGTGTTAATTAATAGAAAGAAATCAATTCATAAACAATCACAGATAGTCACCAAACAATCTCGGTCTCAATATTCTAGATTATGATGAGTGGCGTAATACAACCGAAAATAATATGTAATGTAATATGGATAAAAGCTGCGATTCATTAATTGATGAAATAATAAAAGGAATTCGTCAAGTACCTACATATGATATTTTTTTTCGCAGCGTCAAAAATTGGTGACAAGAGAATTTTATCCATGTTGAGAACATAAGATGGATGTATAAAATAAACTGTTTTTTTTTGTAAATAGTACGTAGAGTTTTGCACGTTGCATTTTGTGTTATACCTTGTGTTTAAAATAAATGCACTGGATGATAAAAAAATCTGTTGGACAAATTTCTAGGCTTGGACAATCAAATATCTATTTTACGTGTGTTTTCTAATGTCGAATTAGAAAATTCAGGATGCAATTTAGAAGATAAATAAAAGCCGAAAATTTGATATTTCTAAAGTCTTTGTGATTGTTTAGATTTGAAGATCTTGTGAGTCTTTGAAATTTCATAAAACAAAAAATTTTTTCTTTTTTGAAAAATAAAAACTAAATATGGAAGATCAATATAGAATTCGGTACAGAAGAATGCATATTAGATAAGAAAAGATAGTCTTGATTAAATTTTGACTTTCGCACACTTGTTCATTTAGGATTATTACAGCATACCAAGAACGGTCTTTGCTATACACTTCTAAGTACAGAAGTTAATCATTCTCTTAGTGTCGGTTGTGGTAAATTTTCCAGGATATTATTGAGTGAAACACTCCGTTTAGAGTGAGAGTCAAATTTTATATGATCTCGGACACTTCGATAGGGTTTTTGGATAGCATGCAGATGAAGATGATCGATTGAGTTATATGGTGGAACGTGGAAACAGAAGACAAATGATGAATCATTATTATCGTTCGAATTTTGCGAACGAAGGCGAAGTTGTTCAATGGCAATCTAAGTAGAATAGTGAAGACGAAGTAATGAGAATAACAATAGAGGTTTTACTGTGCGCATATGTTCTAACAAGGTTCGATGAGCATCGGTTAATTTTGATACATTTTCTATGTGTTTTACTGGTACGACGAGTAAATGTAAACGTGCAGCAGGTGCTTTTGGAGTGAACACGACACAATGGTCATCTTTGTACCAAAGTCGATTGGATGGGGATTGTCCTTGAGAAATGCGACAAAAGAGACAATCAGTTAATTCTCTTGTCTCTCTAGCGTAGACCACACCTTTTTTTGTGATCGTGTTGGTGCGTGTTGTTCTCATATCAGTCTGCAACAAGACTACGTCGCTGAATTTCTGCACACAATATCAATAAAGAGATCTAAAAGGGTAACGAAGAAACACAACACTTTAAACATCCACTCGTTGAAATTTTTATCGAAATCACGATTCATCTTTCTGATGCTTGAATGAACTGTTTCACTTCGGATAACCTAAAAATGATTGGACAATAAGCATTATTCATCGAGTCAAGAACCGACGATAGCCTACCAGTAACAATTGAACAGGACGCACAATACATAGAAGCATCTCAAATTGGACACTAATCATGCGAAGATACTCAAGACAAGAATATTTCAAAGGACGAAAAACACAGCAATAAAAATGGAAGATCATCGTTGTTATTCGTATTACTCGTAAATTACATATATTTGTAGAGACTGCATTATTTGTTGAATGAATTTTATATATCTATATATTCGAGCTAATATCAGAAACAAATCAACTAGTATTTCTCAATGAGCTACACTAAAAAACTAACAATTGAAAAAGATTGAGTCGAGTATTGTAAACGCAATAAAAGAAAATACGAACCATTTTACTTTTATCAAATCTAACCTTCTTGAATTGATTAAACATTATAAAAATAACACTCTAAATGTGGATCACTGGACATTTTGTTAAAAAAATTAGAAAAGGCAACGTATGTCGAATCACTGCATAGAAAAAAGTGAAGTAAGTTGTTACTCGAACATCAACTTAGCCGAGGAATTCTTTTCAATCAGGTTAAACTAATAGTTCTAATTTATCTGAATTTACTCGTTTTTTTTACACAAATATTTCTTTCTTTCGTAATATTAAAATATATTCTACTACACAGTACTTATAGAATTTATCTATACAACGAGGCTATTGAGCAAGTATATTTTTGAGTTTTATACTTCTAAATGTTTCCCTCAACGTTACCGGACTTCATCTCATAAAAAAGCGTTTTTACTTATAGTACGGATATGATTATTTTAACTTGTCTGTAAAAAAGACTTGTTTTTTCAATAATAAACCGTATTTCAAATAATGTATGCTAGTGCATTTGTGAAAAATCCACGTTTTTCAGTAAAAGAATGCTAAAAACTCGCGTTCAAATGGTAACCAAAATGGTATCGATTCGAGATAAAAAGGTGTCTGTCATAAACTCGTTTAAACAGTCTATTTACTTGGTGTTTTATGGTCAGAAAAAAACGTGTCGTAGATAAAAGCGATGCGTTTGAATGCATTTAAACGCAAAAATAGCGTTTTCACCTTGAAACCTGAAGTTGAAACGCTGATTCATATAATTTTTTTTCACAGGGAAAGCATTCACCATAAGTTGACCATTTTGTTCGGCTGTATCTTTAATAATGAGTATAACCGTAATTCGAAGAACATCATCTATAAGATGTCTGTATGAATATGCGTACAGAGTAAGCCTTAATTCATCCACACACCATTTTTACTTGTTCCAAAGCATTTTCAGTTCACGAATAATCGACGATTGTCTTGTCTCCAGGACGTTGTTCAATTTGATTTTGTAAAGATATTGAAATGTATACTTTGCTCACGTGTAACAAAATGATTACATCTCCAAGCACAAATATAAAAACTCACAAATAATGATAAGAAATGTAAAATAACGCTTCGTCACATGCACACAAAACAGTCACATTTCATCTTATGTTACCTGTGCGTCGCCTGTTGCAATTGTCAACTCGTCGTATCTTTTTCTATCAAGTATCATCCAGTGTCCTATTGATTATTTGGGGTGTGGGTGTGTGAGTGCGAGAAGAGAAGAGAATAACAACATCCACGCTTGAGTTGATTTGAGAAAAAAAATTACGGAAATTCTTAACTGCAGCTAGATGAATAGATGTTGCTAGAATTTCTATTAGTTGAGTCATACGAGAAAATTTTACATAGAGCAGAAAGAAACAGTTTGAAAAAGGAAGTACTCACGAGGGAATCGCCCGAGATGTCCAACGCCGATTCCCTTTATTCATATGTCGTTTGATAGAGGGTATCCAGGGTGTGGGTGTGGGTGAACAATAAACAACCATACCCACACCCCACATCCACACTCCACACTCACACCCCACACCCACACTTACACCCACACCCCACACCCGCATCCACACCCATACACACTCACACCCACCCACACCCACACTCGTACCTTAATTTTCCACCCTAAAAAAGTATAAAATTTCTTAAGTTTAACACTAAAAAGTGTTTATAACCCTCACTATTTAGTATCAATAAACCCCATTTTTGACGAGCTTTCATTTGATGTAGAATTCATTATGTCTTCTATTTGAAATTATAGCGGTACCCCCCCCCCTGGAATAATATTATTTCCAACCTAATACAAAAAAATACCAAGCAACTCAATTCTGATAGCAGCATGAAAATCTGTGCATTTTTTTCATCAGAAATTCAATCTGTTTAAAAAAGCTAGTGAAGTGTCGATCACCAACTCTATTCGAAAAAATTGAATTTATTTTTCATACGAGCAGACCTTGTTTACACTGTGCGCATTATTGATCCATTACAAAATTCAGATACGGTTGCCATGTAGAAACATCGATCAGAATCATTATTATTTCATCATTCATTGCATGATGGAATTTAGGGTGGAGGAAGACAGAAAAAAATTGGTTGTTATTGTATGCGAGAAAGGAGTCAGTCACTTCTGTTTTTTTTTAACGAAGACAGTGTATTTTTGTGCAAATTAGCCAGACGAAGGTGAGTATTGAACTTCTGATGAGGCAGTCTAGGCTTGCCTGTTTTATAAAACGTAGTTCAGTAGCGAGATCCCATGCATATTGCACGGATATTTTTTCCTGTAAATTTCCACATCTATGCTTTAATCTTGACCCCCAAAATACCCAATCAGACACTGCGCATTATATACAGTGGCTACCAAAATTATCCGACAAGCAGTTACCAGTTTTTTTCTCAGTCTATATTTCAGACATAACAAAAGCTAGAGAACTCAGGTTTCCACCAACATGTAGCCTGAAGTGTCTAGTATAAATGTCCTTAGTTTCAGTTCAATCAATCAAACAGTTCAGTTTATATTAAGAAAAAAAAACATATAGTACAGTTTTTTACCTTCCAAAATTAGCCGACGAGGATACAAAAAAACCAATTTCGACTATAAAAAAATACTATTTTCAACGAATTAATATCTAGTTGGATAGTCATTCTTCTTTCAACCTCATCCCAAATATGTTCGATCGGATTCAAGTCCGGAGAGAACGGTGACCATTTTAGCCGTTCAACTCCTTTTTTGTCCAACCATTTCGTTATTATATGGACTCGGTGTTTCGGGTCATTGTCATACTGCATGAGCCATTTCCGCCCCAAATTCAACTTTTTTACAGATTCAAGTAATTTTTTGTTTGCAAAATGTCACGTTAAATCTCTCCTGTCATACTTCCGTCGGTAAAAATAAGATTTCCTACACCCGATGAGGAGAAACAACCCTAGCATTTTACGTTTCCACCCCCGCGTTTCAGGGCAGGAACGGTGCATCTAGGATCAAGTGCTTCTTTTGGTGTTCGCCAGACCATAACTTTTCCGTCTGACCCAAACAAGTTGAATTTACTTTCGTCAGTCCATAGCACTTGATCCCAGAAGTCGAGAGACTTTTCTCGATATGTTTTAGCACACTGAATACGTTTGGCACGATTAACCTTGACAACGTACGGTTTCTTTCGAGCAGCACGGCCCTTGAATCCTGATTCGTGTAATCTACCACGGACTGTTTGCTCAGAAATGATTATTCCCAATTCAGTTTCGATTTCAGCTTTCACGGATGATGCTGATTTTCGTCGATCCGCCTTTATTTTTCGCTGTATAACTCGGTCGAGGTGTACAGTGGTCTTACGTTTTCGTCCTCGACCGATGATATTTTGAACACATTTTGTTTTTTTGTATTTATCAATGATGTAATGAACTGAAGTTCGAGGAATAATCACTTTCTGAGCAATATCGTGCTCTGATTTGCCATTCAGATAATGTTTTATGACAGTTTGTCGTAGATCAACAGAATACTTCTTCTTCTTGGGCGCTATGTTGAGAAAAATGAGTTAAGTAACGGATTTTTATATTTCGGATTTCAACGTATAGTAGTTTATCACTATAGATGACTCTAGCTACCGCTTCTGCCCCGTTCGAGCTAATTGCTTGTTAGAGGATGATCGTTCTCTGCCTTACCAATTTACTTGTCGGATAATTTTGGAAGGTGAAAAATTGTACTATATGTTTTTTTTTCTTAATAAAAACTGAACTGTTTGATCGATTGAACTGAAACCCAGGATATTTATACTAGATACTTCAGGCTACATGTTGGTGGAAACCCGAGTTCTCTAGCTTTTGTTATATCTGAAATATAGACTGAAAAAAAACTGGTAACTGCTTGTCGGATAATTTTGGTAGCCACTGTATATAAATAGACCTTATAGGTTCATCGCCTTGTTACCCATGTATAGCCTTATACCCTTGTAGCCTTATCCCCTTGTAGTTTTACGACCTTTGACCTTTAACCTTTAATCTCTGATCCGATACAGACAGTTAGATACACACACTGAACATTATACATATATAAACAATATATTACAAGATGAAATAAGATAGAAATTTATAATTCAGGGGCGAACTTACAGCGGACGAGATGGGGGTGACGATCCTCCCTCTTTAAAACTGATTTTATGCTACTTTCAAGCGGTTTTTCTCCTAAATATTGTATTTTTATCGTAACTACCCTCCATTTTGCTCAACCGCACCTGTTCCCTTCAAAAATTCTTCGACTCGCCACTGCTATAATCTTTAAATATTTTAGTCGTTGTCACGTGGAAAAAGTCAATAAAATAGATTTCTTCTTTTCTCTATTATCTACTGCATTTGCTTGATATGTTAAAGAGTGTGTGGGTGCGGGTATGGATGCGGATGTGAATGTGGCTGAAAAGAATAAGAACATCCACCTCCCACACCCAAAGGACGAACATCTTCAAGCTTTCTTTCAAATAAATCATTCGCTTCAACATACTATTAATACAGTAAGTTGTGTATTCGATCTCTTATCAATGTAACTGTAATATTTTGCTGAGCAGCAGTTCGACATACGCTGACAGTCAACTCTAGCAAGAAAACGACTTCCCAATCGATTATTTCCTTAGAGTGAAAGGATAGGGCCCAGAAATGGAAATTCACCTGTGCCTGTCCGGCTGTTTGTAATGCAGTTACCAGATGATAAGTATGGGAAAAATAGTCATAAGTATGGAGAAAACAGCCGTAAACATGGCAACAATGGGATTCCATGAAAGGTACTCCCCAGGCAAATGCTCTCCCGACATTTGTTTACCAGTGGCACTTAGTCCTAGGACCGTAACTCACCGACCAGTTGCATCGCTAGTCGTACCTAGCGAAACTCTTATTGATTGCAAGTGCAAAATGGTGTTGGTATGAGTAAATCGAGATCTCAATCCATAGACACCACACATTCTCACTCACACGGATGCTCAGCTCCACCCTCAACGTCACCCTCGTCGACACCCACTCCAACTCGCACACCCACACCCACACGCTAGTCGACACACACTCCAACTCCCACACCCACACCCTCATCGCCATCCTCACCCATATCCACACCCACACCCACACCCACACCCTTTTTATATGATATTATAGATCATGACAGATGAAAATGGTCAATTAAAAGATTTTGATTTCGTTCATTTTGAAACACAAGAAGCAGCTGATAATGCTATTAGTGAAGTTAATGGTGTGTTATTAGCTGATAAAAAAGTTTATGATGGTCGTTTTATGTCACGTAATCAACGTGTTGAATCTGGTGGACCACGTAAATTTACAAATATATTTATAAAAAATTTCGGTGATCAAATAGATGAAGAAAAATTACGTGAACTTTTTTCAAAACATGAAAAAATTCTAAGTTTTAAAGTAAATTATAGAAAATTTTTTTTCTAATAAACAAAAAAAAACACAATAAAAATTTATCTATTTTAGATTGAAAATGATGAAAGTGGACATTCAAAAGGTTTTGGTTTTTGTAGTTTTGAAAATCCAGAAGAAGCTGAAGAAGTAAAATAGAAAATAAAAAAAACAAATAAATAAATAAAATACGTTTTTTTAATGATAATTTTCTAGGCTGTTAAAACATTAAATGGATATTCAATAGGTGATAAACAACTTTATGTTGCTCGTTTTCAAAAGAAAAATGAACGATTATCAGAAATAAAACGTAAAAAAGATTTACAAATACAAGAACGTATGAATAAAAATCAAGGTGTTATTTTATATATTAAAAATTTGGATGATACTATTGATGATGAACGTTTAAAAAAAGAATTTTCTAAATTTGGAACAATTACAAGTGCAAAAGTAAATTTATATAATTTGTTTGATAATTTTCAAAACGTTTTTTTTTATTTAGGTTACGACAGAAAATGGTCGATCAAAAGGTTTTGGTTTTGTTTGTTTTAGTGCACCTGATGAAGCAACAAAAGCTGTTACAGAAATGAAAGGTTCTATTGTTGGTTCTAAACCACTTTATGTTGCATTAGTACAAAGTAAAGAAGAACGTCGTATGCATTTAACTAATCAACATATGCAACGTATGGTAACATCACGTGTATCACCACAAATGCCATTACCATTTCTAAATGGCATGAGTGGTATGATGCCTTATTTACAAGCACCAATGAGTCCATCACCACAACGTAATTTCTTTACATCAACTGCAATGCCAACTTATCGACCAGCACAACCACGTTGGTCATCAACTGCACCAGCTAGTGGTATGAGACCTCCAGCAGGTGCACAAATGACTGGTATGCAAATGCCACAATCAGCTATGGCTGCTGCTCAACGATTGGCTGATATGGCTAGTGTTGCATCTCGATCAGATATGCCAGTGCCAACACGACCGACACCAACACCAGGACAAATGATGCCGAATAATTCCGTTCCACCACAAACTGGTGCACAACCTCAACAAGCAACAGCTTATACACGTACGGCAAGAAATATGCCAACTAGCGTAAGTATTTCAAATCGACGAGATAACAGTCATTACGTAGGACCTGTTGAGACTAGAAGGATCCTTTCTTATGCAATATCCTTTTACGGATACACTGAAGTTTTTATCTTTGGCACGGTTTACGAGCGCATGGTAAAAAAACAGTCATAACTCCAAAAAGATAGCGCATGAGACCTCAATAGACTTTAGGTAATGATTTGGGCTTTGCCTTCTCGGATGGCTCCGTCGCAAGAAGATTGAAAGTAAAAATAATGTTTTTTTTTGTCTTTTTAGAATCCAGGTGGATTTCCAAATTCAATTTTAGTTACTGGACAAGAACCATTAACACCAGCTGTTCTTGCTAATGCAACACCACAAGAACAAAAGCAAATGTTAGGTGAACGTTTATTTCCATTGATTCAACAAATGCAACCAGTATTAGCTCGTAAAATAACTGATATGCTTCTCGAAATTGATAATACTGAACTTCTTCATATGCTTGAATCACGTGAATCACTTAAAGCAAAGGTTTGTTTTTTTTTCGATAAAAATTTTCAATGAGAAATTATGTTTATATTTTATATTAGGTTGAAGAAGCTATTGCTGTACTTCAAGCTCATCAAGCTAAACAACTTTATGCAGCTAAACAAGCAGCAACAAATTCAGCTGCCTCATAATAAGAATTAAATGTCATCATTTACAAAAAAACAAAACAAAAATAAACAAGCAAACACATATACACACATTGATTGTCTGTTATATTCTTTCTTTTTTTTCATTACATGCCCAGTTCGATTATCTTGGCGGGTCTTTGTTAACTTTCGTTTTTCTTTTCTTCTGTTTCGTTTACTATTGTTTGGTGTTGTTAAATAAGAGCGAAAAACGTTGCGCACTACAAAATCATTGTCATCATTATTAAATCTGGGAAAAAAAATTATTAAAATACTCCCTTGTTTTTGGTGTAAGTTTGGGTGTGAATGTAGGCTGTATGGTTGTGGATGTGAGTGTTGTCGATGGCTCTATTCTACCCATATCTACACCCATAGGTCGACCCTCTCTCTAATCTTGGCCATCGCGGAATACTCCTACCAACATATTCCTAAACATTAAATTAATTTTTCATTATATTTCTATGCTTTATTCATTAATAATATTAGTTGGGCAAATTGAAAAAATCTTAATTTTTCTTTAACAAGTTATGTTTGATGAACTAGGGTGTGGGTGTGGGCGTGGAGATGTGGGTGAGTGTGGGGGTGGAGACGTGACGGGTGTGGGTATGGGCATAGGTGCATGGGAAAAGAATAACAACACCCACACACCCACCCCATATCCACGCGCACAGCTACACCAACACCCACAGCCACACTCCACACCCACCCACACCCATACTTACACCAACACCCACAGCCACACTCCACACACACCCACACCCATACTTACACCAACACCCACAGCCACACTCCACACCCACCCACACCCATACTTACACCAACACCCACAGCCACACTCCACACCCACCCACACCCATACTTACACCAACACCCACAGCCACACCCTATGGTACTTAAGGTTTTCCTATAAATTCCCGAGTACTATTGCCATCTGATGAGATCCTTGAGCAAGATCGAAACACGTGTCATGGCAGCTTGTCATATTATCCAAAAAATAGATGTTTAGAAACTATTGTTTTAGGATTTGCATAGTACAGAAAAACTGTAAAGTCAATACCACGGTGATCGTTCATTTCGGGAGATGATATTCCGTCTCTTACTACCGAATGCAGCATAAAGATAGTAACATTTGGTATTTTGCAAATATCACATTACAGATAAATCACATAATCTTGATTTTTTTTAAATGCGCTGTGAAAAGCTCTACAAAAACTATATGAACAAATTCTTATTGGAAAAAAAAAGTCTTCCAAATATATCTATTATGCTCAATACTGTGGAACATAGCGTCGCCATGTGACTCGTTCATTTTGGGTACAAGAGATATCATCAGAACAAGTGAATAGGGATTTGTTCTTACAGATTTTGTAGACTTTTTCGCGGCGCATCGTTTAAAAAAATCAAGATTATATGATTCAAGTGTAGTGTGATATTTGCAAGTTACCAAACATTATAATCTTTATAATGCACCCTATATCATTCAAAAAAGGCTGTCATATTAATGGGATAGCAAACCAAAAGATAGAGTTTATCTGAATCGTAATTTATAATTCTAATAATGCTGTTATGTAACTGCGATAAAAAAAAATAGAAGATAAAGTTTATCTGAATTCTAATTTAGAATTTTAATAAAGCTGTCATATAACTGTGACAGAAAAACAGATGGTAAAGTTTATCCGAATTATAATTATAACTCACGAAAGAACTTCACTGTATAAATAATGGAAGAGCAAAAAATAAAAATAAGCTACACGAGCATGACGTTATTGTGGACATAAGTTACCGACAGTGTTTTTGATGAAAAACAGATTGAGTTATTGGAGTATTGTTCTAGTATCAAACTACTCAAATAATGTGTCAAATCAGAGGTGCTAAGTCTGGACTACCTATGTCTTTGCTTCTTATATTAAAAGATACGTGATAGATACACATCTTATACCTGAAACTAGTCTACGAAGACTAGTCGACTTCAAAGTTCTTCGACGGCTACCGATTTAATTATTCAATGACTGAAGTGACATACATAATGGAAATTATGTACTTAATACCTATAATCACTATAACACATAGAACATACGAAATAAACTACAATCTGTGTGTCCACTTTATCACTCGAGCAATACATCCTATGTAATACATTCTGCCCCACTCCCTCACTCTGACGATGTGCTCTTTGTAATCTCTTTTGCCGTCGCGAACTTTTTCACGACAACCCAACATTGGTGATAGAAACTCTGTCGGAAGGGCTGCATCTATGCATATCAATTTGAAATAAAATTCCAGCTAACTCTAACAATCTTCAATCTAATTTCAATTCTGGACACTTTGAAATTTCATTCCAACGAGTGTCAATAACTTGCAGCTCCAGTTTTGGCCACTTCTAGTTCTTATAAATGTATTGACTTATGTTGTTAGTCAATTACGTCATTCAGTGTAGTATCCTCTGTCCTAATCGAAATTGTAGTGGTACTGTATTGTATTGAATTTGATCCTCACTCTGAAACACATATCCCATCTCACCACATCCAAATTTTAACTCTCATCCTCCTTAGCCATTATAGACCTTGTATCGCTAATGAATACATACTGCTATGAAGAAAATATTCCGAATTTATGTGTTTTTAATTACGACAATTCGCCAAAGGAATGTACTTTTCATTCTGTGAAATTTACATAGTATGTGGGAGAGTATTTCTAGTTCCCATGTAACTCACACAAATGATTACGTCGCACTGATAATTTCAAAAAAAGTTAATAACAGAGGGTGTAGTTTATTATAGATTGTAGTCTGAATTCTAGTGTCTATTTATGATTTAACGTTTGAAGATGGGGGTGTGGGTGAGGATGAAGGTCTTCTTCCCACTCTCACGTACCCTCAAGATGTGTACTTTCCTTAAATTAAAATTTCTAAAAATTAAAATTTCACAATTTAAGTTACAAATCGCAAGGATACTGTCGAGTTCTGACCTCGTTTGGCTCGATCGAGGATGCTTGCACCCTTCGAAATTAACAATCTCAATAGTCTATTCAAGAGAGGGTGTGGGTGTGGGTGTGAGTGTGAGTGTGGTGTGTGCGTGTGGGTGAGGAGAGATAGTATTCTCTCATACTCCACACCCACGCCCACATCCCACCCACACCCTATCGGTTTTGGTGATCATTGCGACATAAAATGTGAAAAAATTTGCGTATGGTCTAGCTAGAAAGAAAGCAAGAAAGAAAGAAAGAAAACTCGCGACGCAGTACGATAAAGTGCTTCGCACCTTAAAAACTGGCAAAGGAATACATAAATGCTGTGCTTTGCAGCGCATTAAAAAGTAGGTTTAATAGAAAAAGATTTATTTGAAAAATAAAAATGATAAAAAGAGTAAGTTTGCTTATCTGACAATTAATAAAACATAAGGCTGGTGCGAAGAAATATCTCGCTCTATGTTTCATTCTCGTCTATCAAGTTTCTGATAATAGTGATAATTTATGTGAGATTGCAATTTACCCTATTTTATTATATCCAATATGTCTCCAACTTATTTTAGCATTGGTGTTCATACGTATGGAATATTTTTCATCTCTGTAGAGCAGTCTAAGTGCTTTACTCCGTTTTCTCTTATATTCGTGTTCATGATTATTGGCTGTGAATGCAGAGAGAAAGAGAAGACAATTCGAAGGCAACGTTATCGAACCTGAATTTAAAGCTCTTTTCTTTCTCTCTAATGTCTAAATCTTTCTTTCCTTCTGTTGCACTTGAGTTGAGGGCTTTCTCGGCTAGAATGGAAAAGTGCATAAGAAATATGAAACTTGATACTCTTTCACATATCTTTTTAAATGATTAACGTAACTCGTTTTGAGCTTTTATCTATTGCCACAACTTCTCCGCTTCATGTTTTCCTTCTCATGATTTTTTATCCCTTCTGTTGTATTCATAATTTGTCTACTTTTATCATGCAGTATATTCTGTGTTGTGTCTTTTCTACTTGTAACTTTACGAAATGTCTTTTTTAAGTCATCTTTTTGCTTTGGTACTCAGATAGATAGATAGAAGGATTACACAGTAACTCAAAGATCTTTATTTTTTTAGTGCTGAGTCTACCAGAGGTTTTCGCTATGCAGCTGTCAGCCTCTCGAGTTTCTGAATGCTGGAAGTCCAGTCAATCAAGGTGTGGATGTAGTTCAGCATCAAGTCATGGTTAGTTAATTGTAGATGAGGATTCCGGAATTTCCCCAGTAAGACTATTGTCAACAGGACATTCACCAATACCAAAGGTACATGATAGTTTTGACGAAAGTATAGTTGACTTTCTCCAGTTGTCGCGAAATAATTTTAAAACAGGACACATGTAAGAGCTGAAGCTAATATAGTTAGAGTGCATATATATCAGAGTTGTTAATTGAGGCGTCCATGAAGTCGGAGCCCATGAAGAGTTCATGAGCTGATGCTCTTTGTCGGGATGGAGCGAAGTGTCGCTCTATCACCTTTCTCTAGAGTGTTCAGCTTTTGCTCAGTCAACGCCCTACCTACGGTCTGAATCATGGGGTTATAATTTTACTTACGCCATGGTCTAAGTGAAATTTTAAAAATCACAGAAAGACTTGAAAGTATAGAAAATGAGACTGTACAAGTTTTCTTGTTACTTGATCGGTCATACAGCGGGATACACATTATGTGTACACATTTTCTCTTTTACTCTTCATTTTTCTTCTCGTTTGCTTTTCTTCTGTCTTCAACTATTGTCTGTTTCAAAATAAAAGGCAGGTTGCTATTTTCTAGATAACTTTCGCTGAGAACAAGATATAGACCTGCGATTTTCACCGTTTGCAAGAGCAATGTCAGGGCCATCAATCGGTATAAAACTCATCAAAGTGAAAGATGCTTTTTTTTTATAGGTACTTTTGGATTAACACTTTTGCTTTTGAGCATTTTCATCAATTTTCACAATAGTCTAAACTCAAACTATGTTAAAATGTGGCTCAAAATCGCCCTTTTTTCGGTATAAAATTAACAGGTGTTTTTT